TTCAAATTTACTCGTGTGTGTGTGTGTGTGTGTGTGTGTGTGTGTGTGTGTGTGTGTGTGTGTACACATTCACAGATGGCATACAACTTAAGGAAGTTAACCATGTGGGGCCCAGGATCATTCTCGGGTTGTCAAGTTTGGCAACAATCATCCTCATCTGCCGAACTACCCCACTGGCCCCAACGCAATTGCTTTAAAGTCTTTTACAATTGAAAAATCAGAAGGTCTAGAGAGAAGGCTCAGCAGTTAAGAGCACTGGCTGTTCTTCCAGAGGACCTGGGTTGAATTCCCAGAACCCACAAGGATGCTCACTACTGTCTGTAACATCAATTACAGGGAATCTGATGTCCTATCCTGGCCTCCTTGGACGCTAGGCATCAACAGGGCACACATATATACATGCAGGCCAAACATCCCTGCACGTAACATTTTAAAAAATAACAAAATAATTAGATGTGTTTTACTTTTTTCTTAAGTGTTTATAATTAGAATTGCACAGTTATGTGTCAAACGTTGTCTGTGGCGGTTGTGTCATTTTGTAATCCTCTGTCGGTATGCCAGGGTTCTGATATTACTAATTATTACTGAGTTTGTTTGTTTGCTTGTTTTATTTGTTACTGAGAGAGAAATGCCACGGTCTCTACGCACCATTACAGAGTTTCATTTTCCCCCCATTTACTTCTGTCAGTTTTAACTTGATGCGTTTTGAGACTTGGAGATTGGGTACTGCCGATTTAGGAAAGCTTTGCCCCTTGTGCACTGGTTTGTACATCGCGACCCGTCCTCCTTGCTCTGTGCTGAATTCTACATTGTTTTAATACAGCAAGAACGAGGATGTGCGTTGCGTATTTCCTCCCATTCCCTTGCTGTTATCTGTGCATTTTTACTTAGATGGGGTGTCTTAAATAGCCTTGCTCCTAAACCTCTAATGGAAGTATCTGAATTACTTACTTAAAAAGAGTTTGTTGTGGCAGGCCAAAGCTGCAGTTGTGTGTTGTTTGACAAACGCACATATGTGAGGCCATCCATAGCATCTAGAAAATGGATGTTTTCCCTCATTTGCATCCCCTGGGCCCCTTTGAAATTAACACCTCCTATCCCTTCTCTCCCCCAGTGGCTACTGATATTCTGCCATTATATATCAGTTTGTGCTTTTTTCCAAATCCAACTATGTAGCCAGGCTGGCCTCAAACTTCTACATACTATATCCATCTTCTCTGTGTTGGGATTACAGGCATGCAATACAACATGGCCTGGTGTTTATCGTTTCTAAAGTCTTATTCCAGTAATACCATAGCATTTACTATGGGGCTTTTTGGTATTTTTTTCATCATAGAAATTTTGAAATTTGTTCATGTTGAATTTTTATTTTGACTCTCTGTGTGTGTGTGTTTAATGTGCAGGTATTTGCCTTGGGTGTGGCTTTTGTTGCTGCAATAAAACAATAACCAAAAGCAACTTGGTGAGGGAAGGGCTTCTTTAGGTGTGCAGTTATAGTCCATCACATAGGGAAGTCAGGGCAGGGACCCAAGGCAGGACTGAAGCAGAAGCCATGGAGAAGTGCTGCTTCCTGGCTTGCTCCTCATGGTTTGCTCAGTCTTTCTTACGCACCACAGGACCACCTGCCCAGGGGGGGACCACCTAAGATGGTCTAGGTCCTCCTACATCAACCATTAAGTATGAAAATGCCCAATAGACTTGCCTGAAGGTCAATATGTTGGAGGCATTTTCCCAATTGTGATTCCTCTCTACTCACATAACGTGCATTATGTTTGGAAAACACAGTGAAGACAGTTTTATGTGGATCGGCAGGAACAGTTGTGCCTTCACCAAGACGGACCTTCAGGTTGGTGCTAACTTTTGTTGTTACACACAGAAGTGCAGTATATCCTTACATAAGCCTTTGTATGTTTGGATTAATGTCTCTGGGATAGATGCTTAGGAGAAGAATAAATAGGTCACCAGCAGGCTGAGTTTTTGACTGCCGATCTATTTTCCAATGCATTTGTGTCATTTCTCATTCCTTCCACTGGTTGTGAGAGTGACCTTTCTCAGCAATATTTACAATCGCTTTTCTCTCCAATCAGTGCATTTGGTGTGGTTTTTATTCGTTAATTTATTACCCACTCATATGTCTTTGTTGCTGAAGTTTCTGCTAGGAATTTTTTTTTTGCGTCATTAAAATGGTTGGTTCTCTCACCCCCTGAGAAACCCTGGCTGATGTTTGTGGCACAAGAATGCTGCCTGCAAGGAGGCTTGAATTTTGTTTTTCTCTTTAAAATTTCACTTCTTACCCTTGTGGGTATGGATGATGTGGGTGTGTGAGTGAGGGAGTGTGTGTGTGTGTATATATGAGTGTGTATGTGTGTGTTGTGTGAGTGTGTATGAGTGTATGTATGTGTGAGTGCAAGAGAGTGTAGATTAATGTGTGGAGGTTGGGGGACAGCGTTCTGGAGTCAGTTCTTTCCTTTTATAGTGGGTTCTAGGTATCAAACTCAGATCAGTAAAAGTGCGGCAAGCGCCTTTACCTACTGACCCATGTTGCTGGCCCCAACCAAGCAACCAAGCAACCAACCAACCCTTATTTTCTCTTTGAAGCAGAATGTCTTTTATTTATTACTTGACAACTTTATACACGGAAACAATATGTTTTGATCATATCCCCAAACTCCCACGTCTCAGGTACCCCTAACATGTTTTACTCACTTGACATGCTCTCCTGTTTTGTTCGTTTTTGTTAACCCATCAGGGTCCGATCGCTGCTGCCGGCTGTGATGTCAGCTGGTCTTACTGGCCTGTTCTTGTGGAGATCACCGTGGCTGCAGAGAGCTCAGGAGAGCAATGGCCACATTGTGTCCAGAATTAATTTTGTCTTTTAAGAGCCTCTTTAAGAAACATTAAAAAGGATTTATTTACCTTTATTTATGTGTTGGGTGTTTTTCCTACATGTGTATCTGCACACCATGATAATACAGCACACAGTATACACAGAGGCCAAAAGTGGGTGCTGGATCCTATAGAACTGGAGTTATAGACAGGTGTGAGCTGCCATATGGGTGCTGGAAATTGAATCCCAGGTCCTCTGGAGAATCATTTAGTGCTCTTAACTGCTGAGCCATTGCTCCAGCCTCAAGAGTAAGATTTTTTTTCCGATTATTATTGATCGATTCCTTATTGATCGCTGATCGATCGATTGCTAGCAGTGCCAAAGGGACTCGAACCCATGTCCTCTGGCACTAGAGCAGAGCGTTAGGCGCTCCTAGCCGCCGAGTCACGGCCCAAGCTGCTAAGAGTAAATATTTTTGAGTTTAAATTTGTGTAATTATATTTATGAGGCTTTTTCTATTTATGAAATTGTTATCTGCAAAAGTTCATAAAAGAGTTTCTCTTACATTTTCCCTAGAAGTCTGAAAGTTTTACATTTATGTCTCTATTCCATGCAAGTTAATTTTTGTGCAGAATGTAACATTTTTCTCCATAGAGAGATTTGGTTGATTTGGCACTGTTTTCTCCCCAAAGGCATTCCATCTACCCCACGGGGATACCTGATTTTTGTCAAAAATCATTTACTTCCTTTATGTATGAACAAAAAGATACAGGTGTTATGGTTGGATTTTGAAATTTCACCCACAGGTGTGCTTGTTTGAACACCTGATCGTCAGCAATCAGCACGATTTTGTAGGTTGTGGATACTCTGAGACAGATCCTCAAGTAGATGTGGGCCGTGTGGGTGCTAACCTAGCCCCATGGACAGCCTGGGTGAGCCCTCTCTTCACTTCTTGAGCCAACAAGATGTGAGCAAGCCACGATGCAAGTAAGCCTTCACTGCCAGTAACCAAGGCAACATCCCAATCTTCCCAGACGGACAGACTGACTTCACCCTCTAAACTGGGAGTCCAAAGAAACATCTACTCCATTGTTTCTGTAAGATATTTTTTGTGGCAATCACAAGAGAAGTAATTAATTAATACACAGATGTATTCAAATACCTTCTATGCCTCAGTGGTTAGGAATTCGTGCGGTTAGGAATCTATTTTTCTTCTAGTTTGCTTGGAATCGTTTTCTTTATGCCTAGCCCAGAATGAAAAAAAAAGTCCACTGCTGAAATTACTCGAGCGGTCACACTTACAAAGTAGAAACAGAAACCACCCTTTCCTCGCTAGGTGTGTGGGTGCTGTAGCCAGATGTGGTGGTGCACACCTTGAATCCCAGCACTCTGGAGGCAGAGACGGGCAGATCTCTGTGACTTCAAAGCCAGCCTGGTCTACATAAAGTCTATGTAGACCAAATTGACTTTCTGTACTCAGTTAGCCCAGATAGGTCGATACTTAATCCCATGGTAAAGACAGACACATGGAAAAGGAACCCAGTGACTACGAAGGGAATGATCTAAAAATTTAATAGCTTGTATATACAAGATGACAACAGGCAATACAAATTGGAGAGTTTGGTTTTGACAATGTGGAATGTCATCACTCAGGTTAAGACAAGGCAGCCCTCTCCCAACAGATACGCATCGTACAGTAAGAAGTCCAAGCGACTTTATCCAGTGGTTCGGATGCACCATGACCCACTTCCTCCACACACAGTGAATTGCAGTCCCACAGCTCAGCTGTTCATCTTCTGGCAGCTCAGAGCTTTGAGGACTGCAGTTGTAGTTTGTTTTAAAAAGCACCATCTCTTTAAAAACTTCCGCCAATTAAAAAAAAAAAGTTACACTGAGGTCACACGTTCTTCCCAAGCCCCTCCCTGTGTTTGTAATTTGGTTGTTTAAAATAAGTAAGTCAAGACATACATAACACCTGCTTGGTGGTGGTGGTGCATGCCTTCAATCCCAGCACTTGGAAGGCAGAGGCAGGCGGATCTCTGTGAGTTCGAGGCCAGCCTGGTCTACAAGAGCTAGTTCCAGGACAGCTAGGGCTGTTACACAAAGAAACTCTGTCTCAAAAACCCAACCAACCAACCAAACAAACAAAAACACATAAGAAAACCAAAGCAAAAACAGTATCAAAGAAGGACTTTTATAACAAACAAAAACACATCTCCAAATAGGCCAGAATGGAATAATTTTCACAAACAGAGACTACAAGAATCATACTTCTCTGCTTGGTCATAAAGAAATAGGGGAATAGTTTGTCTGTCCACGGTGAGTCTGGTGGCGCTGGTGCCTGTGCTGTATCCACACAGCGCGTATGTAGAGACAGACTGCAGGATCAATGCTGTGACTAGCTGTCACATGGCAGCATGTCATATCCTCAAGGTCCAGGGCCGCAGCAGGTGTGACGATCAGATATCCGCAGTTGTTCTGAGTGTTGGGCACGCATAGGGAAGTTTTCAGAAGGGTGTAGGATACACCAAGCAACGAGAGAACAGGAAAGGGCCTGGTGGCTCCACAGTCCAGTGGCTCAGGAGCTGCCATTTCCTTTGGATAACGAAGGTAGAAACCCCTCAGAGAGACCTTTATTCAATGACTGGCAGTTGGAGACATCCCTTCTTTTTGTCACGATCACAGTCTGATGTTATCTTCATGAATTCCCACTGCATTTTTTTTTTAAATTCAACTCTAAAAGCACCTGTTAGAAAACCTAGTGGCTTAATCGCTCACAAATGCAGCCCCATGGAAACAATTGTTCTCTCTTTATGGTAGCTTTCTTGCAGAATTGAAAGAGCACAGTCACAGCTGTGGACAGTCTCAGACCAGCACGTGTGTCTTGCTTCTCTCTAGCTCTCGAAACATTGCGCCTTAGGTAACTTAGGTTAATGTATACTTTTTGAAACTCTCTCTGTCCCTCCTCCCCCCTCTCTCTCTTGGCCTTTTCAACCAGATCGGGGTCATTTACCGTTGTGTTAAAGACAGTCAAGTTTGAAAAATGTTTTAGATAACAACAAGCCACACCATGACTTGTGATGTGACTTGTGGTGACTTGTGAAGACATGGTATGACTTGTGATGTGGGAAGTGAACCCGTGGTAGATAGGACCATGAGCTCCAGATGGAGTGTGCTGGGCTCAGCTCACCACTGACACATGCAGAGTAACATGACATCCCACGGGTATAATTTTCTATAAAACCCAAACAATGCAGCATTAGGGGGTGCTTACTAAGGTGCTTCTTAATTCATGTTTTTAATGGAATGTATCAGACACACATCTACAAACAAATATGGATACATAGGCATAGACAAACACGGACACATTTCTGTACAGCTTATGCTTTAGATACTTATATGTATATATAAGAACCACACAGGGGGAAAAAAAAAAGATTTCCCACTTCAGCTCCCTGAATTGATGAAACTCGACTAACTCACACAAAACGTTAAAATATTTCATTTTCATATAAAATATCTACAAAAATAGATAACCTTTACAAAAACCAGATCGTATTTCCAGTTTTCCTTAGTAATTATTCCCATGGTCCCTTTCGCCTCTTTTTCTTCTCAGAAGGTGGCCATCTCCAGCAGGGAACGCTTGAACAGCTGCGCATTTCTGGACAGATCAGTTACCTGATGCACCATCTCCTGCAGGGCGGTAGTGCTGGGGTAGTGGAGGGCGGCCATCTTGGTTGCCATCACGATTGTCTTGAGCTGTTCACAGAGCTGGTTGCTGGAGTTCCTGACTTTATTTCGAATGTCCGGGGCCGCCACCTGCCTCGTCAGAGTGTCTCCAATGAACACCAGTTTGTGTGCGCTGAGAATGACAAACTTGCTGTGTGCCACAAAGATCCGTGGGGGTTGGGCCGAGCTGACGCAGCTGAAGAGGGCGTCGATGGCGTTGAGGAGGGATATGAAGTGGGTCTCGCACTGGTCGTAGTAGAAGCACAACAACTGCCTATCCTGAGCACCCACGCTGTTGTTTGTGGTTGGGAGGGTCTGGGAGGGCTTCCACTTGGACATGTCGTTCTCCACGGGCTTGGTGATTTCTTGCTCCAACAGCTGGAACTGACTCAGCTGGAAGGAAGATAAGAGGCTTCGTTAGGGGTGAAACATGCATTGTAAAGGGAAAGAAATATGGCGGTGGAGTCAAACAATAGCAGTTTCATCTTTAATAGACGCCAGGTCCTTAGGAGCTGTGTACTTAGCCAGGCTTGCTTCCTAAATCATACGACACAAACCCTGGGAAGATGACCCCTAAGGGATCCTCCAACTCTGACCTGGGATGACACCATTTGTCTTTTTCTCCTTCGAATTGGAAGGTGACCTTGGGTTTAAACCCCAGCCTCACCTTCCATGCCATTATGAGGGTTCAGGGAATTACTGTTATTCACAAAGTGCCTTTGCATCCCTTATGGGATCGTGGTTTCAAGCTGAGATGATAATTTCTAGCAATTTTACTAAGAATCCTGCGATCAGGACTCAGTTAACCTCTCACCCTGACTCAGAGCTGAGTCAGCACAGGGACAGCTCCATCCTGCTCCCCCCACCTCCAAGAAGGGCACAGTCAGCTTTGTATTGCACAGAATTTACTTTCTTCTTAGGAATTACTTTAGTGTGTGCTAATTCCCTCCAACTCTGCTGTCTTATGGGGCCAATTGCCGACGTAAGCAGAGCAGATACAGGGTGGTGTTCAAATATTATTTAATAATAACAAATTAATTTCAAATCATGTGTTTGTGGAGGGCAGTACTTTCTCATTTTATAGAGAAAGAACTGAAGTTTTGGCCCATTACATGATGTTCAAGTCAACACACCTGTTGCCTAGAAACAAGGGGTTGAACTCAGGTTTGCCAAAGACATCTTGTCACTTCATGTTGTGATGTTGTGAAATAACTCATCTGTTATTTCATTCCATCTTAAAGAGTGTGTATCCTTAGTCCATCTCTTTCTGCTTTCATGTCCTTGACATTCATATCTGTCCTCATATGCTGTGCTCATTAAACCTTTGCGTGGACTGCCCTGCTCAGAGCCCTTGGTGAATGGACTTGAACCTGTCTCACTAACATCGGCTCGTTCCCTTTGACCCTTAGACTGGACCATGAAAAAATACAGGTAGAGGGATGGGGTTGAGGAAAGAGTTAGAATCCCACTCTTTTAAGTAATTTGAAAACCACAGAAGGGTGTTGACCATTCGCTAAGGAATTCCATGTGAAATGCCATCTACAGAAAAAGCTTTGGAGCTCGGCACAATGGCACACCCAGCAATCCCGGCACTCAAGAGGTTGAGAAACGAGAATATCAAGTTTGAAGCCAGCCTGGGCTACACAGGGAGACCCTACCTCGAAGTATAACTAACAAAGCAGTGCCCCATAGAAAGGGCTTTGAAAGTCCATTTGTGAGTTTTATAAAGTTAAACGGGACCCGAGTGAGGAGGCGACTAGAGAAAATGTCAAAGACTAGAGGAGAGCAAAGCAGATCCTGGAAGAGAACCAAGAGAAAACCAAGGAGAAACGATAGCCCTGTTCCTGTCTGTCCTGGCTGCATCTTTATCCTCCTGAACTCCGAACTCCCTTACTGTGGCCTTAACAGAAAACCAATTAGCTTGGGCCAGCTTGACTAGGACTTGTGTCTTGAGACCAAAGGCTTTAACTCAAATAGTCCTAATGTGTTACGTATTAACAGGCAGAGCCCAAACAAACCCCGTCATTTAGATGCAATCCAGAGATACTCGACTGGAGTCACAGACTACAAGCCTTCACTTGGTTCTTATGTCCTATTATATGCCTGGGACTTCATGTGGTGGCCGGGCAAGCCCCCAACCTTTGGAGTTCTCCATTCCCTACTAAGTGGAGCCCTTTTCTCCATCGAAGAGCCCACTGCTTTGCTTGAACTTACCTGATGATGCTCCAGCTGGGCCTTGTTCTGCTTGATGATGTTCTCTTTCTCCAAGAGCTCCTTCTGCTGTCTCTCAAACTCCTCCTTGCCCTATTGTTTTCAACACAAATACTGCATTACTTCACCACCAGGAGTCACTTATGTGAACAGCTTCATTGACAAGCACATTTAGACTCTCGTTAGCCACTAGCCATTTCCTTCATGTCCCACTAGACATTATAAACCACTGTCAGGGACTTTCAGAGTTACTGTGGAGCCAGGCCTGAAAAGTAAAGCCTGTTTCCAAGGAGTCTGCCTTCGTTGTTACTCCTTCTAGCTGGAGACCTTCCCATGATCCTCTCTGCACTCTCTTCATAAGCATTATTTTTCCATGGTTTCTTAATGGGTTATATGTGAATCCATGCACTTTCAAACCAAGGTTAAAAAAAATGGGTGCATATTTTACTTCCAAAGTCTTGAACTCTCCTGTATCTCTCTACCTGCACTTAGCATCCGCCAGTGCACACCATCAGAAACCCAGTGAGATGAATGCTAAATGCCTTCATCTAAGCTAGGCCGTTACTCAGCATGAGATGAGGCTCAGTTGATCTCTTCTACTCCCTTGTGCCTGGGGGCTTTCGGTATTTAAATTTTCAGCAGAATCCATGGCTCTCAATCAAATGGGAAAGGATGGCAGAATAAGACATTATGTTAAATACTAAGTGCTAGATTATGAGAGAGGGTTTGAATTCTTCAAAGCAGACGGGGAAGTTTTCAGGATCCCATAGCAACTGGTAACTAGCACAGTTTACACTTCTAGGAGGCAGTTTGCATGTTTAACATGTGTAGGCCAAGCTGTTGGCCAATTGGCAAATGATCACAGACCCTCTAAATCTGATGGGGCTCTGTGTCTTTGTAAGCAGCAACACACACACACACACACACACACACACACACACACACAGAGTAGGCTTCAAGAGTTCCTTAGAAACTCTCTATGTACAGATATTTCCAATAGTTATTTTTCTTAGCAGTGACATGTTTTAAAACCTTTCATTGAGATGGACTGTCCCATGGAAGTGTGCCATACACCAATAGAGGAAGAAATGATGCCATGACTAGCGGACCCACTGTTCCCCATTGAGTCCCCTCCAGTTTGCCTGGTGTATATCAGTGAGACTTAATACAGCCCTTTGGAGTTAGTGCATTCTCGAAACAAAATTCAGGCCCAGGGAGGTTAAATGAAGTGGCTGTACAATTTCTGTACAACCTCACCCTTAATTTTCACAACACTTGGACTGGCACTCAGCATGTTCTGCCCTTTGGCTGCCGAGCCCGTGGACATCAGTCCTGGGCTCCCTGAATGTGAGTGTGTGTGGTTTACAGGTCTGGTTGCCTTACCTGTAGGTGGACGTAATCATAGTCATCCATCCAGCTCCTTTCAGAACCATCACTGCTACTACAGTCTGGTGGCTGGTCCTTGCCTAGAGTGGGAGGCAACGGCTTATCGTGGACCTGGGTCTTGTAGTCACCGGGGCGCAGTAGCTGCATCTGGGACCCCGTATGTGTGTACTCGCTTGAGTTCATGATGCTGTCGGGCCCATTTTTCAGGTGGGAACTGCCTGGAGCTGCTCTAAAGAGAGTCTCTGCATAGGTGCTGATGGTGGTGGTGAGTTGCTTAGCATCATCTGGCACTGTCTTGGCTACCATCACAAACCGGTCCAGATCATCACATTTATTTTGGGGCTTATTGATAACTAGGACATTCAGGGACCAGCTGCACTCATTCAAATCGTGACTGGTTTGACTGAGGATCTGGTGGGAATCTTCGACCCTCTGGAGTTCCCGCTTCATTTTGTTGTGAAGGACCAGTTCTGGGAGGCAGAAGGCATTGGCTAGCGCTCCCCTGGCAAAATGGAGGTATTCCCTTAGAAACAGCTCCACCTTGTCCACTGCGGTGCGGATCTCATTGATGTGTCTTTCCATGTACCCGTAGCACCTCCAGTCTGTAGTGACGAGGGACATGAGGCCACCGACACCCATCTCCAGGGTCTGCTGGAGTCGATAGAGCTTCTCAATGGCCGTGTCTGGGTCCAGCAGGAGCCGTTTGTCCTGAGATGGGGAGGCTGACAATGAGGACTCCTTTGAGGAGGTGGAAGAGGTGGACATGTTACTCCTGGTACTGCCGGTGCTGGAGAAGGAGAGTCGGTTGATCCCATCTACCACATCCCGAGAGCCCTTGGTGTCTGCTGGGTTGTGCAGGGGAACATCGTAAACACCATCTCTTTCCTCCAGATTTGCCTTTTCGCTGGTTTCTGCTGGTACCTCCAGAAACTGAACTCCTCGGGGGATATCATATGCATCACTATGAGTGGCCCTGGACTGTCCCGGGTGAGAGGGTGGAGGATGCCCTGAAAGAGGCTGCTGTCTTTGTGCCATTGGTTCGGCGGCTCCCGGGGCGTCACAGGTGAATTTGGTGTGAAGGTCCTTCCCCGCTGTCTTGGTGCTGGTGGGAGGGATGTCATAAACCCCCTCCGGTCTCGTGTCTGGCCTTCCATCTTGTTTCATTGGAGAAGGGAAATCATAGTCCTTTTCCCTAAGCCCTGCTTCATCTCGATAAGCTGACGGTGGAACGGCATAGACCTAGAGAGCAAGGAAAAGGCCAATTTATTTGTTCAGTTGGATCTTAGAGGGAGGCAGAAAATGAACAGTCTATGAAGGTGTGATCCGGAGTCCATAGACCTCCTCCCTATTTCGTCTGCCTCTTTCCTCTCACCCTTTACTAATTCCAGAGGTTTCCCAGGGTACAGCACGATCCTTTGAGGATGTGTGCCTGCATCCTTGCACACAAGCATCCATTACCATTCGCAGTGGTGACTGGCTTCAGTGTAGAGCTCTAAGTTCTCACCGCTGGGTTGCGGTCTCAGGTTTCCAACCATTTACTGACTGTCCCACCCAAGTTGACCCATGGTGAGAGACAGAGGCCATGATACATAGCACTGAGGAATCTGAGTCCTCTTCTTAACCATCAGACAGACCATTTGTGGAGGTGCCCGAGTTTCCTTACTATTCAGAGGCACAGTTCCCCGTCTAACTGTATTCAAAGTGTGGGTACTCTCAGAGATCAACAGAAGACAAAGTGAGCTACCTCGAATGTGTGAATTGAGGAAGACGTAGGTGAGCAGTTCTCAACCTCTGGATCGAGACCCCTTGGGGCAGTCAAACGACCCTTTTAGAGAGGCTCACACATCAGATATCCTGCATATTACAATTCACAACAGTAGCAAAATTACAGTTATGAAGTAGTAATAGAAACAGTTTTATGGTTGGGGGTCACCACAGCATGAGGAACTTTATTAAGGGGTTACAGCATTAGGAGGGTTGAGAACCACTGCTGTAGACCCTTCTAGAAAGATGAGATGTATTAGATACTGAAAACTGAACTCATTCTTCCCTTCTAATTGACTCTCATTATTGACGTCTCTGTATTCTAGGGGATGCTCTAAATTTGTAATTATAATTATAAATTTTTGACGAATTGCTGTCTTCTCTCACTTGCTTCCTTCCCACTTTCTCTTTTCTCACCCCCTCCCTCATGAATATGGTGCCTCCCTTTTGGAGTATGCCATTCTCATCCTATCCCAATGAATGAACACACATCAGCCTGCCTGATACACACAGAGATGCTCATCCGCACCCAGCTCTTTATCAGTTCACTTACCCCTTGAGTAGGGGGAATGTCATACACCCCTTGAGGCTTTATCTCTCCCACTGGAAATGAAAGCACGGGGCCTTTCACTGACGAAGGAGGGATGTCATATACCTAAAGAGAAACACTTGAGTTACCCAGGATGGAAACGTCATCTCTCACTTCTCTTGCTGCTCTTTCCCTGTGGATTGATCTCTCAGGTCATACACAGACTGGGTCTCTATCAGCATCCCATGCCATCGGGACACATCAGGGGTTTATGGATTATGTGTTCTTTGATTTGGATTGAATATGAAAATGATCTTCCATAAACTATCTACTCTATAATTTAGATCATTAAATTGCACATTTCCAGAAATAAAATGACAAAGTAATAAAGCAACAAGGTATTTCTCAGATGGAAGATTAGATTTTCTGCTGGGGCAAAACCAGAGAACACAATTTAAATAACACTGGGTTGGTCCCTGGGCAGGTGGCTCAGAGCTCCATATGATAAGATTGTGACTGGTGACCTTTTTCTCCTGTGTGGTCCTGAAGACATGCTACCCCATAAGCCAGCTCCCCTGGTGGTGTTCCCATTGCCTACCCCTTGAGTAGTGTGGGAAGGAGGGACATCGTAGACATCCTTTTGGTATCTGGCAGGATACTCATACACATAGCCGTGGCCTGTTCTCACTGGGGTGATCACCTGTGGGTGAAAATACAGAGAGATGTCAAATGACAGCCCCAAGTCCTCAGTATCTCTTAGCCTGTAATCAGGCACACATCCCTAATCAATCCCTCACAGAAAGGAGAGAAAAGGAAGGAAAAATGAAATGGAAGGAAGACAAGGAAGGAAAAAGGATGCAAGGGAGACAGAAAAGAAGACATGAAGATACAAGCTCAGAACATGAAGGAAGTGTCTGAAATATCATCACTGCCTTTGCTAAGAATTTTCCAAAAATCCTATTAAAGTTCATCAGTAGAGTCTCAATTCCCTATATTCAAGGAGATATTAAATTTTCTTATATCATATAAATTATAAAAGTCAGGCTGGAGAGAAGGCTCAGCAGTTCAGGCCACTTGCTGCTCTTACAGAGGACCTGGGATTGGTTCCCAGCACCCACCATGCTGCATTTCCAGTCCTGGGGCACGGATCCCCTCTTCTGGCATTCAGCAGCACCAGGAACATGAATGGTGTATACATACATATTCATGAAATATATGAAAATATATTCCTAAATATATTTTCCTAAAAATCAACAAGTCCCAGTAAAATAAAATAATGAACGTTTGAGCTGAACCTTTTGGAGTAGCCAGTGTACAGCACTACAGTCTGGGAAGGGCTCCGGGGCCTTTGTAAAGTACACAATACAAATAGTTTGGCCACTTAAAATTCCTCTCATACCTTCCCCAGTATGCTTCTTCATCTGATATGATTACTGTGATTATAGATGGCATTCCACGGGTCACTCTAGTCCTTTCACAGAGCCACTGATGAACAGCCCTGTTCTTATAACTGCCTGGGAGCAGCAGTCACTCTAATTTACGAAACAAGGGAAACACAGTTCCCATCAGTGTCTCTAGGAGATTGGTTCCAAGATCCTCGGCTGCTCAAGTATACGGGATGTGATGTGTTGCACGTAACCTCCATACATCACTGGGCACACTTAAAACCCTCTCCAAATTACTTTCTGGTCTACCATGCTTTACAAAGACTAAATCAAGAGATGGCATACAGTATTGTTTAGGGAGCAATGGCACAAATCTGCACACGTTCACTGCAGATGCAATTACTTTCTAAATACGTTTGACTTGCAGCTGGTTGTCTCCTCTGATGTGGAACCCACGCTGCAGAGGAAGCTCTCAGGAGCTCACAGCTTGGAAGTGTCCTGACCTGTAGTCTCTAATCATTCCCCCATTTCCACCAGGGAAGCAAGTGTCCCCAACAGCATCTACATGCAGCAGGTATCAGAACTCACATACACTCACCATGGACTCTGGCATCTGGAGCCAACTCACCTAGTGGGCTAACCTGCTTCCTATCCCATTGCTCCTCCTTCCTTCCTTCCCTCCCTTCCTCCCCTTCTGTTATGTGTGTGTCTATGTCAATGCACTCTCCATATGTGCATACGTGGAGAGCAGCGGTTAACCAACTTCATGTATTTTTCTCTACTTCTCTCCTGTCTGTCTGTCTGTCTATCTATCTATCTATCTATCTAGATATCTATCTATCTATCTATCTATCTATCTATCTATCTATCTATCTATCTAGATATCTATCTATCTATCTTGAGACAGCATCTCTTCACTGACCTAGAGCTCACCATTCACCTTTCCCAGTGACCACGCCATCACTGGGGTTATAGACACGTGACACTACACCTGGCTTCTCCATGTGTGTTGGGGAGTTTGAAATCAGGTCCTCATATTTGTTGTTGTTGTTTGAGACAGGGTTTCTCTGTAATTTTGAAGCCTGTCCTGGAACTAGCTCTTATAGACCAGGCTGGCCTCGAACTCACAGAGATCCACCTATCTCTGCCTCCCAAGTGCTGGGATTAAAGGTGTGCGCCACCACCGCCACCAGGCTAGGTCCTCACATTTGTACAGCAAGCACTTTACCCACTGCTGGCTCCTATGTCCTGCTATGCACTGCACTGGTAATTCTAAACAGGAGAGAAACACTATTTCAACTTAACTGATTTAATCCTCTCAGGGTTTGCAAATTGCCACAGTCTTATTTTTGTTCAACTCCCTACGACCAAGCCATTAACAGTGTCCATGCCAAAAACTGCCCACCATGTCTTTGAGAAGCGACACTGAAAATCAGGAGGAGCTGTCTGTTCCCGGGAGGCCCTCATCTTTCACCCTTTAACGCGAAAACTCTGGCGTCGAACTGCCTACAAAACTATGTGAGAAATGTCCCAAGTCCATCTTAAGCTGAAGCGAGTGGAACACAGCCAAGTGTACCAGTGTCTGTACCCCAGGGGCTCCAAATCTTCCCTGTTCAATTTTGTTTAAAATGCCTGATGCTTACCACTGATTATTTCTTGCACTGAAGGTAAAAGAGATTAGTATGCAGCAAACATTTCCAGGCAGTCTCTCCATTGTCTCGGGTTTAGAAAAGAAAAGCGTCGCTTTAAGTTTGTTGGCATCGAGAGACGGAACCATTTTAGGAAGCAGCCATTGTATTGTACGCAGCAAATAGTCCTTCATAAAGCAGGGGGCTGTTTGCTAAAGACTTTTAATGCCCTTGTATGATTTTTTTTTTTGCACTTAGCATTGTGCAAGAGAGATATGAAGATCTTGTAGACGGTCTGTTTATAACTCACTATTTAGCTTGTAATAGAACCTGTTCACAGCCCAGCTTTTGTTAAGCATGTAATCTTCTAAGAGGGGGTTCCATGCCAAGCTGCCAACTTCGGGATGCCAGTGAACTAAAGTCGATTGAGCTGAAGTCCTGCTTCACTCCTCATCTTTTATTTTGAAAATGGGGAGGGGGTAGGGAGGTAGAGGGGGCAGGGCATGACCCTTAGAAAGGGCCAGGGACCAAGCTATCCCTAGCCTTTGTGGCCCTTCCCTGGCAGGGCACACTCAGGCTTCTTGGTATTTACCATTCCACTTCCTGACAAATGTCACGGAGCCCCAACTTGCTCTCTCTTTCTCATTTAGAGGATTCCTGTGGTCATCTGGTGTTTAAAACTTCGCATTCCAAACCAGTCATTTTCCCTTGTTTATGCAGTTAAAGAAACAGATGGAGGAAAAACCACGGGAGGAAAAAGCCAATAAAAGACAGCCTTCCCCGTCCCAGCATTCCCGGCGGAACATCCTAGCTCACATGGATGCACCGATGACATTTAAGTGGGACCAAAGCTTTGCTTCTGGTGTGACATGTCCAGAGCATTTAGTGATCCACGTGGTCACTCAGGAAAGATTGCTGAGGCTTTCTTCAGCGCCGCCTTTGTCTCCACCCTTGCTAGGACTCTTTCCGTGCCAATGGTGTGTTCCCTCCTCAGGAAAAAGTACTTGGACGGCCTGACCTTCCCGCTTTTTCTTCCTGCTTGACAGGAGCACACAAAAAGACCTCTACATTACCTCCCTATTCATCCGCCTAGGACTACTGATTTTCAGTCCAAGAGGCACACCAAGAACTGACTAAGACCATGCGTTTGGAAGAATTCTCTTGGGCATAAAATCACTCCCTAAGGGCATTTTCAAACTAATTTCTCAATGAAATCAAGTCAGCTTTTTTTTTTTTAAAATTTCCCTTTTCTGTCTGTTTTTCTTTGGTGCATTCCTTTTATTCTACGTATTTATTTGAAGTTACAAAGGCTTCGCCCTAAGAATTACAAAGCTGACCTCTTAATTCATTACTGCCTCCCAGGGAGCTAAACTGTGAGGTGGGCTGGGGCCCTGGAGGTCTGGGGCTATGGCAGCTGATTCCCTGACTATGATTACCCTGCAAAGGCCCTGCCCACTCACATGTGGCTCTGTCTCTGTCCTGCTGAGGAATCCCGTTCTTGCCCACTAAGAAGAGCTATGAAGCAGAGAATGGATTGTAGTCATTTGGCTTTTTTCCTCCTTTCTTAAAAACATTTTTTAAAATCAACTCTCATTAGTTGTTTGTGTGTGTGTGTGCACATTTGCAAGTGTGTAGATGTGTGTAAGTGCACACTTTTGAGTGCATGGATGTGTGTGATATGGGCGCGCAGGCATGTGAGCATGTGGATGTGTGTGTGGTGAGTGTGTACATGCTTGTGAGTGTGTGTGTGTGAATGCTTGTGAGTGTGTGAATGTGTGTATACACGTGTGAGCATGTAGATGTGAATTGCATACTTGTGAGTGTGTTTGGTACGTGTGTGTACATGTGAGCGGGGGAAAGCTGATGCCAAGTGACTTGTCGACCTCTTCGAAATTTATTTTTTATAAAGATCTAAGAATAGATGCCCAGAATCTGCTTGTATTAGATGTTAAGATACTACTATTGCTGTGTGCCATAGTTACACAACTATAACCTCAGTACTCAATAGACTGAGGCAGGGGGATTGTGAGTTTGAAGCAAACCTAGGCACATAGCAAGGCTCTCTCAAAAACAAACACACAAACACAAAAACAAAACAAAAAAACGAGTAAACACCCCTAAATAAAACATTTTTCCATCTTGAGTATGTTACAGTTGTATGTAAGAAGCTGGAAGACTTCAATTAAACTCTTACTTTTGAAGGCTATGAAACTGTTGAATAATGTTTCATGTTTGGTAAAATTCTCTACCAAAACAGAATTTAAAAATATTTAATATTTTTTTATGTATGTATACCACGGTCATTTGGTAGCCTCAGAGGCCAGAAGAGGGTGTCAGACCCCCAGGAATTGGAGTGGTGGACAGCTGTGAGCCAGCATGTAGGTGCTGGGAACTAAGCCTGATTCCTCTGTAAGAGCAGACAATGATCTGAAGCCCTGAGCCATCTTTCCGGCCCTCATCTTATTCTTTGAAGTTGGGTCCCTCACTGAGCGTGGTGCTCATCGATTTGGTTACACTGGCTGGCCAAGGAGCTTGAGGTCCATCTGTTTCCACCTTCTCAGTGCTAGGATTATAGATACGCATGTTCATGTTTGGCTTACGTAGCTGCCACGGCTCCCAATTCGAGTCCTCATGCTTGCATGACAGGCACTTCACCCACTCAGCCATCTCTTTCTTGATGTTTCCAC